AACCAGAGTGAATTACTAAGTCTATAAAAGAAAAGAATAACAGAGGTTCATAATATTTTGCCTTTGAAGAGAACTAAATTTGCTACTTGATTAAAAAAAAAAATTGCTCAGATTGAGATTCTTAGCATTTCTAATTCTTAGTAGGATTGCTGCCCAAAACATGTTTTTGAACAAAATTTATGGTAATTTATTTCTGTAGTGTTTTGTGAGCAGGAAAGTATATTTTAGAGGTTGCTAAGAGCTAATTAATTTAAATATTAGTGGCAATGGCAAGTAGCTAAATTATAAATAATTATGTACTTTTCTACCTATTTATTCTAATATACCTGGATTTTTATTTAAAATTACAATAGATGTAATGTACACTGAACCATGAGTGCTTTTCACATGCAGTCTTTGAAGCTCATTAACAGAACTATGACAGCAGAATTACAGTAACATTTACTGAAACCAAAAAGCTGGGGTTTTACCAGTAACCAATGGTCTCTTCAATAAAATTAACAAAGTTTTACAGAGCCAAAAGATGGGGAAAACAATCAGGGAGACACCAAAATGTGTCAAAAATTTAAACAATAAAAGTACTTTTATCTGTCAAGTCTCATTAGGAAGGACTGCATTTGCTCTAGTGTTTTGCATAAGGTAAGTCATTGATATCGGGTACTTTCAGCAATCTTAAAAAGATGATAAGAGGTAAAATCTTTCTATACAAAAAAAAAAAAAACCCCATAACCCGATTCTTGTAGACAGAAGCTTTTTCATTTTGTTCTCTGTGAGTGAGAAGTTTGCAAGGGTTTTTAATCTTTGAGTGAAATGTCTTGGTTATTGTGTTCAGCTTGTAATGAGTCAAAGAAGATACCAGAAATGGGGCCAGGGAAAAAAGACAGGAAAGCAAGCAAGAAAGGAAAAGAAAACAGATAAAAGAAAGATAAGAATCAAACCCAAAGTTCAGTATGAAACAGACAGGGATTAACAGTGTATTACACTGAAATTATTTTGAATGTTCATGACAATAGGAAAAAGATTGTTTCCTGTTACCTTAGCCCCTCAGAGGCTGCAGTCTGAGAGTCACACTGTTCAAGAAATGATGACCTCAGGTGTATGAGGTATAAAGACATCATTGAATAAATAAGAACTTTCAATGGTAAATTTCTTATTGCCTTAAGATTCTTGACCACAGAAGGAGATTCAGAATTGTAACATTTCTAAAGTGATATTTTTTTAAAGACTACATTCTAAATATGTCATTATGCTATTATTGCCAGCATTTGACTCAACAACATGTGCACATTTCTCAGACTAAACCTTTTTCTGGTTTCTTTGGCATCTGACTATGTTTATAAAGAAAAAATAGGAGATTATGAAATTTTTAATGGAACAGTAAAATACTTAAGTTGAAATTTTGTTCAAAAAACTCATTTGCACTCCAAACATGCTCATATTTCTGACAAACACAGGAAAAAAATCTGTTTAGAACCAAACATTTAATATTTCTTGAGGTTTTCAAGAAATAAATAATGAAAAACACTCTTGGGACCTTGAACAGAATGGAAAAGATGTTATTTTTCTTGGAACACAATAAATAAGAGGGGTGTTTTTTAACCAATATTTAAAATTATTTGTATATTTTTTGGTATAATAATGTGGAGAATGAACAATATCAGGCAAAAGAGCCACTTCTTTACACGGGAGGCTAATCTAAAGGTCACCACTTATGGAAAAGAACTCGTGAAGGTCAAATTCAGTATGAGAGAAGAGTCCAAATAAAATGAACCTTAGGCAAATATAAATACTTCCTTGGACATTTATTACAGAATGTTAATAAAATGAGAAGCCAAATAGTGAGGAACCTTTGAGGTTAGACTTTAACAGGCATAAGGACTTCACTACTCTCAAAAATTTCTGAGAATCTCATCTTGAATATAACCAAAGTTTTTCTATTTGATTTAAATTTGGAAGGGAATTCAGAATTCACTGAAGTGTCCAAAATGGTGCTCTCACCCTCTCTCCATTAGGTAGCAGAGTTCACACTCACCAATTCTGTCTTGGGGGAGTTTCTAGTTCCATAATTTTTTGTGGTTAGAAATATGACACCAGTTTTACACATGTATCACTTAAGCTTAGTGGGAGGAGGAAGAGAGATGTTAGAGATTTCCCCAAAAAAAGATGGGATCCTGAAACACATGTTTAATTTCTGCTACTGAGAATATATAATTCTCAAAAAAATAGCTATTTTTATGGTAATTTTTCCCATAATATTATCTCATTTAGAGAAAACAGTCCACTGTAATACTTGTATAAATCATAAGTGTTGCTGGGATTGCTAAATGACTCTAAAGCCAGATGTAATTGCTAATTAAGAATCTTGTAAACACTGAAGTCTCTGAAAAAATTCACTCAAGGGGTTGGTTTCACAAACTCCAAAGCATCTAGTATTTCCTCTAACATAGGCAGCTAACTGCCATGGGGTAGTACATAAGCTTTACAGTGATCACCAAGGAGATATCTCAGGTGACACACATTTACTTAACAGACTTTTGTGTCTGACTTTCTTTTCACGCAGTTCATGCCAGTTTTCAAAATAGCTGTCAGTACTTCAGACGTTCACATTAAATTTCAGTACAAGAATGTACATAAGAGTTTACATTATTTTGTGAATATTTTCATACGCACACCCCATTTTCACTGTTTATTGTTATTCTTCTGCTAAAAAAATAACTCTCATCCACAGAAAAATCTGATTTGTTAGAAATTAACTTGCTGGCAATGACCTGTTGTATGCTACCATACCTTCTTCTAATTAATGCTTATTTCTCTTTGTTTGTTTTTAACTACCATTGGTCAAGATCTCTGAAAGTTTAATCCAGTTCTTATCTACCTGAGACTGACTTTATAGTCTACCTGTAGGCAATTTCTTCTTCATTAGAATGAACTCTTTCATAAAACTAATTTACAATGGTAAATTGAGATTATACCTGATGGTCACTATATGGATGTAATATTTACCATAAGGACATCAAAATAATTTAATAGAAATTGTTTCTGGGAATCGAAACTCTGTTCTGTATCATGAAAACCAGTGAAATCTTGCAGTATGCTACTGTACTGTCTGTAGTGCATTGTAGCAGAAATACTGTACTAGCACAATGCTTAAACTCCCTGCTCCACTCTCTGCTGTGATTTCAGGGCACCTTGGAAATCAGTGCCAGTACATGCAAGGCATGCTATATTTTCATATGTATGCAAGGAGGAATTTGCATTAGCTGGCAAACATACCATTACACATTGCTTTTGGACATACATACCTGTCTTTTCAATGAGCACCATGTCCAGCCTGACTTCTCACATGCAGTGCTCTGCAAAGATTTAGCTAAGCATAAGGTTTCATTTTTGCTGGGAAGCAACATCTACCACAGACAGAAATGTCCCCTGTAGCAGAGGAGACAGTACTATATTGCCTCTCAGCAAAAAGAAAAGCTTAAGTTAGTTGAAAATATATATGGTGGCCATTCAAAGAGGCATGTTATGAGGTGGCAAAGACAGAAATGATACCAACAAGAAAATAGTTCACTCAAGATCGTTGGCTGCTGCTAAAAGGATAAATACTGCCTTGGTCAATGCAAGTCCAGGGACTGTTTAGTTATAGTTCACTGCACCAACTCCTGTGAATGTGGTTACTGGTTAGTGATAGCTCAAGTTGATCATGCTAGCAGCATTTCTCTGCTCTAGAAGCTCAGCTGCCCTAGCCACAGCCAGTAACTGAATTTTAGGAAGTTATCTATCTTTGTCATATCATGTCACATTTTTTTCACCTTATTTGGTATAAGATACCAATCTTCAGTACCAATTAGAGCACAAAGCCTCTGAGTTTGGAGCTAATACACACCCAGTGCTATCTGATGGCTGTTGAAGTTTCTCTGTAAGATGCTGCATGAATGTTTTCCCTGTTTCCATTTTCTCTGTGTTTTTCTTGCCCATTGGCAACTGTGCTGGATGTCAAAATGTTATGTACTATATTAGAAGAATAAGTCTAACTTTACCATGAAATGATTTTTGCATAAATAGTCTTCTGGAACAATTCTGTCAGCAACAATATTTGTATGTTTAGTAGATAGCATTAAACCCAACATTGGGAATGACAATTAAATACTTTTAATTTTGAAATCTGCAACAAATTAATGTTATTTGCAAGTGAAGTAAAACAAGAGCCTGCCTAAAGGAAAAAAACTCTATCACCCTGTTTTGAATTGTGGGAGAACTAGATTTACTATTGCATGGGAACTTTTCAACCTTAGACTAAAACCAGTTTTTTCCTCTTCTAATAATTACATGAAGTGCAAGAGAAGATTCTTAAGATGTTGAGCTTAACCTTCTTATAGGGTATAAACTGCTTTATTCCAATTCTTCTTCCTGCATAAAGTTAGAACACTAACAAACATAGTTCTAGTTAAAGCAAAGGCTTGGATGGTCACAGTGCTAAATTGGTTTGCCTTGAGTCTACCTAATACAACTACTCTTTTCTCTATTTCATTGCCATTATTATTTTTTTTTTTTACTCCATGTTTGTGTTCCTCTAATCTGTGTTTCTATTATAAACTCTTCTTCTGTCAGTTTTATTTACCACTGATTGCTCCAGTGCTTTGTTTTGCTCTCTTGTAGCATCTATTCATGTTAGACCTACCACTCTATTTTATAATCCTTCTTTTGCCCATTTGCTTCCTTTCATTTTAGAATATTATAACACTGTAATGACCCCCTACATCTACTACAACTCACAAGTGAAAAACCTTTTTCTTCCTTTTCTATACTTAGCCCTTTTACATCATAATACAGAAAATAGTGATGGCATTTTGTTTTCTTACTCCAGGACAGAAACAAGATCTGAGGAGGGGAAGACAGAGACAGAGAGAGGGAGGGAGGGAGGGAAGGAGGGAGGAGGGAAGGAGGGAGGAGGGAAGGAGGGAGGAGGGGAGGAGGGTGTCATTTGTTAGTTCTTCTAAAATCTCATGGGTGTCAGGTGAAGAAAAGAATAGAAAATAGGTTGTACAAGTTAAAAAACCAAATTAATAAGTCAGAAGCAGTTCCTGGGGAGCTGACAAGAAATCTTTCTGTACATGTTGGCTAGAAGAAGTAATTGCGAGTCATTTGGACCATAAATTGCTCCTTGACTTTCTTTTGAAGCTTCATTCAGTTACTGTTGACATTCATCTTACCATTACAAACCTGAAGCTCTTCTTTGAGGTTAGTAGAAGCAATTCTGAAAAACTGATGCTTTTTTCACACAACTATTGCTCTACTTTTGCTGCAGCTCTGGCAACTAATGTTCACAGTGGGAAACAGTAGAAGCTATTTATTTTTTTCTAAACTTATCAGATATTAGAAATAAACGTGAAGGTGAACCTTCCCATCGGATTAATTTGATTTAAAACTTCCTTTAACAAAACTCTATACATATATAGGGAAAAGAATTAGCATTTTGTATACTTTGATCACATAAACTGTTTAACTAAATGTTCTTTAGGGAGGAAAAAGTAGCAGCTTTTCATGATGTAAAAATTTACAATAGGTTTGAATTAAAAGCCAAGTGGTTTTGTTCATAGGCATTTTGGAACTAAAAAGAAACAAATACTGTTGTCAAATTGCCTGAAATAGGTCATGATTTGTATATGTTGACCAATTTTGTCCAAAGCATTAATGAATTTGGCAGTATATAAAAACAATTCTATATGTACCTGACCTCTCTGAATAGTTAAATGATTGGTGATTGATTGATTGATTGATTTGCACTTTATAGGATCTGATGTCTTCCCTTGCATTTTTGCTGACATGTAGCATATATTAAAGTCTATTAAAAGCAAGATTACTTATGTACTTGGACTGATTTTTTCTTCTATTTTTTTTCAAAATTTTGTGATTTATAATCCCCCTTGAAACCCTTAGGTTTTTTTAGATCATACACTGTATATGGCTTCCTTTTTTCACTTGTCATCTTCTATATTATGCTGTGCATAAAAAGATTTTGTGTGTGTGCACTGCATTTCCAAAGTCTGTCAGTACACTTAAAATAGTTGTTATATATGTAGCTCTAAAAATGTACTGTAGGGATGATACTTTTTCCTTGTATGCCAGGCTACTTCAAAATGGAATCTGAAAAAATTTGTAAATAAGTTTTCTTCACACCTGTAAAATCTGTGCTGTGCCTGAATGTATAGAGACTTATCACTCATGAACATATATATAAAGATATAAAAGTACACACTCATCCAACAGTCACAGAAGTTGTGATACAATTGTTGTATTGGTTTAATCTTCCATACTGACCATCATTTTGATGATCTTAATTTAAAAAATATTATGTTAAATTTTGGCAAAATTTTTGTAGTCAGATGAAAACTTGATTTGCTATTTTTTAAAAAAGAATCTATCAGTCAGCTATTACACTGATTTATTTTTGAGTGTTTACATGTACTTTAGACACAATCAATCCTTAATCATTCAGATGCTGGTTTACAAAATGCAGGGTTTTCTGGTATAAATACTTTAGGAGGGTGTAGCTCAACTAATAATTTTAATAGAACTAAACAGAATTTTTGATATCACAAGTTCTTTCACTGAAATACTGAATTTGTAAGTAAAATAAGAATAGTCCATTGGAAGCAAGATGGTATATAAGCAAACATTTAAGTACTTGCATTATAAATAAAGGAATAAATTATGTTTCAGTGAGTTCATCTCACTTAGTGGTGATCAGCTAGTTTAGCTAAAACAGTTACGAAACAAATTCTTGAACACTGTAGGTTATTTATGTGTAGTAGCTAAAATGTATTTTTTAATTCTCCATAATACAATCACATATTGTTGATAATTTGAGGAAAGAATTATTATCTTAGCCTCTTACATTTTGATCTGCTCTCTCTGATATCTGTTTAAAATCTGTTTAAAAATCTGATTGTAACTGAAATGATAATTCCAAAGAGTACCCAACAGAAGTTATTTATGGAGAAAGCATAGGGAGGAGTTCAAATTACTGTGGTGAACTAATTATGCTTCTGTTTTCAAAAGACTGTTTAAATTTATTGAGCCTAAACAATTCTTGCCGGGTATGAAGGATAACGTGATTGTGCAAATGCTACTATGCTGCTATTATGTGGGGGTTTAAAAAGATTGATTTACCAAATTAGGAAATTCAAGAATGTGATATAATTTGAAGGCAGATTTTTAGAAAAACCTTGTCTATTCCACTTGGAAGAAGAGTTCTGAAGAGGAACTTAATTTTTTCTTGGTTTTTTTTTTTTTTATTCATGTGTATCTTCCTGTCAAAAAATCCTGCTAGATACTGCAATTTATTTCACTCTAATATAATTAAAAGAAGCTGGCTTAAAACCAAAATTACTCCTGAGTAACAAATGTCCTTGCCTAAGTTAAAAATAAAAATAAAAAAATAATAATCCCCCTTTATCTTTTTAATGACCAGAGTTTAGATAAGATTTTAGATTTGTTAAAAATTACCAAAAGCATGAAAAGCATGAAATCCATAAGTAAAATTGCTCTAAAAATAAAACCTGAGTTGAAAAGCAATTTTGCAAAATATAATAATGGAGGATGTATGTTTTGTTGGATGGAATAATTTATTTTCCATTTTTTTCCTCAGCTGTCTACCTTATACTGCAATATTGTTTGAAATGTAGTAATTTAGAATGGAACGTACTATGTTTATTTTCTAGATAAAAATATATCAGTTTCTTTACCTTTTTTTCTTTTTTAACCCTTATACATATATATATACCAAAAGGTATAAATATGTGTGTATTCAAATATATATATGTGTGTGTGTGTGTGTGTGTGTATAAGTACTTTGTTTCAGGTACTAAAAAGAAAAATTTTTAAATGAATGTATAAATATTGCCTAATTTGTGTCCTCTCTATCACAAGTAGTTCTGTATTATAAACTACATTCAATGGCATATAGTGCTTGTTGCATTACAGCATGGTAAAGATTGTCTTTAGCCATCAATTTTGAAAACAAAGCAATAATTGGGAAACTTGAGAAATAATAAAAAGCAGATTACAGATATTTTGAAAATCTGAAGTGTTTTTAAAAAAATGTTGTTTAAAAATGTGCCAGTTAAGGTAGGAGGCGTTTTCCTAACTATATACACTCACCTTTGACTTTGGAAAATGTTCTACCAAGTACCAAAAGAAATTGTTTCACTTGTAAGCAGTATTTTAATATTGCTGTAGAAATTAGGTCTGCAGTTTCTGAATGGAGAATCTCAAGATAGGTACAATAGGGAAAATAGTATAAGGAGAAAGAGAATGGTCCACTAGATTACCCACACTCTGAGAAAAAGGAACAAAAAGGCTGGGGTTACATTAGTACTCTGGTAATGTAACATGGGACAGACATTTAATTAAGACTCGGTACAAGAACTTTACATCATTTATATCTTTCTCTCCTGCAAGCATAAAGACCCCAGAGCTGACATGGGTGTAGAAAGTGAAAACCACCTTAAGGTTAACTACCTTTAAAAGGCATTCTACCTAGGATTGGGGGTTATAGCAGCTGTGAATCGACTGTTTTATGAACAGTTCATCACCTTTTCCAAGCTGGCAGATGTGTCCACAACAGCATGTTTTTTTGAACCCAAAACTGAGTTTTCTTAATTCTAGTAAAGAGGAGGAAATACTATGCTGACTAAATGAGAAGCAAATCTTCCATTCACTACCTATCAAATTGCTGAATTTATTCCAGTTTACTGCTGTTTCAGTCATAAAGCTCTAACCCTTTCGTTCATTTTGCAATAAATAGCAGAACACAATTTTCACACTAAATATCTTCATTTCAAACCACTTGAAACAACAAAATACTATGTAAGACCCTTGGTTCTCCTGTGCCTTTTCTTTAACATGAGGCTGGATATTCTTCTTTTTAAAGATGTGATTCAGAACACATCTTAAATCTTTGTGTATTATGTTCAACCTGCAAGTCTTGTTTTATGGATTTAGACAGTGTGATGTGTTTTTCGCTACAGGGCTCTTAGGCACAGTTTACTGCTGTACTGTGCACAATAAATATATAAATAATTTACTTGCTCTAGTCTGTATAAATGATTTGTTTGCTTAATGTGTTGGAAATAATTTGACATATTATAGTTGCTGTTGTTGTTGCCACAACATTACTACAAATAAGAAAGATCTATATCTTGTTCAGTCTTCTGGAAACAATTTTTGAGCTCTTTATTTTAATGTTATTTTTACAAGTTTTCTGCTAATAAATACACAGTTGTGTTAGGCCTTGAGAAACAAAGACTTAAGAACAACGTATCTTTTGAATAATCAATCTCATTCTCATTTAAATGAGTATTTTTATTCATACTCTCAGTAACACAAAGCATATAAAAATTAAATCATGTAAAATGTGTAAAAAATTATTGCAACCCCCACATATGACCTCAGAACCGTATAACACAATTTTTACACAGTCTCTCCCTTTTCATCTTCATGCATCCCAGTCAGAAAATCTAAAATAAATGAGGAAACTTTGCCAGTCTTGCTTCATATGAGAAACATGACAGATTTTTTTTCTTGCCAAAAGCTCAAGTCTCATTTGTACATTAAACATATGGAGACATGGAAATTTCTCTCATGATTATGAGCACTGTATAAACCTCAAGAAGACTAGAGAGCAACTTTGGTCTGTACAACAGTTATTTCAGACTAAAATACTTTCCAAGTCTACTAGCAACTGGACTATATATAATCTATAATTCACTTATAATTAATTTTCTTTGCTCTCTTGCAAGGTGGTTTTTATCTGTTTGTGTTCCTCCTGGCCTTATTATGCACTATTTCAACTCTGCTCCAAGTTAGAATTATTCACTTCTACATGGATTTTCTGTGTAAACATAAACAGAACAAGGGGAAAAAAAATATTTTCTTGTCTTCATATCCAATGTCACTGTGGTGTTACCTTCCTTTTCAGAGGGAATCTTGAAATCAGAGAGGCAAATGCCTTTCACAATGAGTGTGAACAGAGCTTATACCAATAAGCAAGATGGGTTTGGAGGCCTGTGTTTAAACTTTCTATCTCTTTACCATTTTTCAAAAAGTGACTTCTCAGTTGACAATCATGCAAACATTGGTTTTACCGATATATTTTTTTCCGAGAAGGTGACTTAGTGACATTCTGGAATGTTTTTGGACTTTATTTTGGTCTTGTAATCAGGAACCCGTCTTTCACTGCAAAATCTCTGGCACAAATTTTTTCCTATTTTTAAAATCACAAGTGTACCAAATAGAAACGTTGGTGCACCAGAAGTTCAAATTTCTGATTTTCCATGGTGTTTGGAAACAAGCAGAAAAAAATTTTAAAAAATGTTACTGCATCTTAAAGAATCAGAAAGCAATTTGTTAATCTCTGATATGACTGCTCTTTATTTTTAGAGATGTCAAAAAGAAACTTATTCTCAGGCTATTTCTGAAGTATACATTTTAAATTTTATTTTCTTACTTTGCATATCTTTTTCTATGAAGATAAGAAATATTTAAAAATATTTAAACTCATCATCTGTAGCTTATGTCTCATTGCACTACACAAATTTGCACCAGATGAATGCAATTCATATATTTGAAGGGAGCCCAGAAGTTTGTAGAACTGAATGTACAGCCATTCAGTATGCAGCAAGTCCCACAATGAGCTATTACTATTTCTAGCCTAGCTAAAGTATTAATGACAGACATGCAAATGCTTGTCTGTGGATGTGTGCGTGAATTATTCTGTCAGGAAGAGGAAAAGTAAGAAAGGGACTATTGAAGCTCTGGAATTTTAAAACCTTTTTTTTGGCCAATAGTAAAACCTATTTTTATAAGGCATGATATAAATGCTTTGCATTGGAAAAAGAAATACAAAGTAGATTCAGAGAACCCAGACAAAAAGTTAATTCATGGATACTCTACTCCCTAATTAAAATCTATTATCTAAACGAAAAAGGGGTAGCATGTTGCAAGTCCTTTTGCTATTTGTTACAGCCTCCATGACACTAAATTTTTCATCAGAATTTCCTTTAGGGGTCCTGATTCACAAAGTTCAACATTGCAGAAATATGAAAAGCCACATACATATTATTTCCAGGTACAAGCAGAGGTTTTTTTCCAAAGAACAAATACTTATCTTTTTTTCTTTTTTTCTTTCCTAACAGAAGCTTAAGTTTGGACATAATTCCTTACTACCTGTTCTACTGCCTGTAATAAATTGCAACCAAACCTGTGGCCTTACTATTTCATTGTCATATTATATGGGCCTTAGAACATCAGTTTATCTTCTGCTATATCCTCCTTTAGTTTTTCTGGAGTTTTTGACGGTAAATAGGTTGGATTTGTGATACTATGCATGCTTGTTAGCTGCATTTTAGAAAGCTTTTATCTAATCTTCAAATGTCAATAAACACTGAGAACAAACCATATGAGTAGAGAGGCAGGAAGCCTGAGCAAATTTTCTTTCGCTCCACAGCAGCAGACAGGTCTCTGTCTCAGCGAGCAAAGTGCAGATAAGAGCACTGGAGGAATAAATGCGAGATGGGTTTAAAACAAGGGCAAAAAGGGCTGGGAGGCAGTATGGCCAGAGGAATGTATCACCTCAAAAGGGACACAATCTGTGTCTTGGGTGCTGAATATAGTGAGCAACCCTACCTTTTTGCTCTACCCACACTCCTTCTCTCATGATATATGCTTTAATATTTTCTTTTTTTCCTCAAGAAGACCACCATGATCAGCAGCAGGAACAGAGAGAGACAGAAAAAAGACGTAAGGAGTGACAGCTGAGTACTCAGAAGTAGCAGAAGAAGAGGACATTAGTAAGTGCTGTCTTGAGGATGAGCTACCACTCTAAACACTCATTCTCCTGAATGATGCTGAGCTGCCCTCTGCCCTCCCTACCACTCTTCTCAAACTACTTCAAGACAGGATGGATTTAATGAAAAAATTATTGTGTGGATTTTTAAGCGTTTGGAACATTACACATCCTTAAACAAAATTACCTCAATCATGAAAGAACTAGTGTTCTACTATGATAAACTAAACTATCCATGACTAATTCACATAATTTTCACATGATATCATCCTACTTTTAATATAATATAAAAACAGCACACAGGAATAGAATAAATGTTCATGTTGCTCAGTGTCATGTGGAGTACTGTCCTTCCAGTGGAGATAAAAAAAGTGCCCGAGAAGGTAAAAACAGAAAGTAATGATAAAAGGATAGTGTCCATCCCCCCCCCTCCTTAGTACTCCAAACTTCAGCTATTTTCAGCCCAGGGAACTTTCTGAGCAGAAGATGGTTCTGTATATGTCACCACTTCTAGAGATTTCTCTTCCATTTACTTGACCTATCTCTGCTTGAATTCTAATGGGTCATGAACTAGTGTCTGCTTATGTATTAAAAATAGAATTTGGCCTATTATTTTCTTCTGGGTGCACACACACTTCAGCAGCATTATACATGCGTTTTCCCTCCCAGCAGAACTCAAATTGAAAAGGCTCTTCCTTTCTGTTGCACTAGGAGTCTGAAATTCATAAAATGATAAAATTTAAGACCATGCCCTCTTGAAATGCTGATAAATCTTCACCTGCTTTGTAGATTTAAGTTAATATCTGTAAGAAACTCTGTCTGTGGATTAACTGAATTAATCAAGCATTCAAAAATAGAGTAAGTAAATAATATTTCATGTTGAATTTCTCAGAAGACAAGTGTGTGCAGATATCAATGGAACTTCTAATATACAATGTAAATTTCCAGTTTAAAGACTACTGATTTTTAGACTACAGAGTTATTTAGTTTCTTGTCCAGATAAGAGAAATTATTTGAAATTTTGAATTATTTGTTTCACAGAAAAGCCACAATAAAATAAAATAAAAAAAAAAAACAGAATACTGAAGGGATGTAAAATGCAAAACACTGTTAGATAAGCTTATCGACCATATTTACAGACTTATTTGCAAATTTGTCCTGGTTTGTGAAGACAAAATTGGTGTAATATTCAACAACTAGCTGTGATGAATACTGCAGTTATTCAGCATCACCTTTAATTATAATGTCTGGTTTGTTAGAATGCATTCTGTTGCTCCTTCAAATTGGCTGAGCATTTTATAAAGAATACTGTATGAATAATCAATAGAAGTGTATGCTAACAGGTAGAAAAGTACCTGCAGAATACATTTTCAGTATCGCAAACTTGTAAATATTTTGTGAACACTATTAGTTGTCCAAATATTATTTGTTGGAATGAAACTGACTCAGATCTGTTATGTGCCACTGTTCTCCAAGCTAAACCCTTTCTTTGAAGGATTGTATGCAATTTAACTGGTGCACAAACATCATCTTTGCTGTTAATAAAGGTGTAAATTGCATGTGGATCAAATACTATTCTTAACACTGTTACATCATTCAATTACCGGCTGAATTAATTATCTTGTTCTTCCTTTTCATTTATTAACTTAGTATTTTCCTACCTCTGATTCTGATAAAATGTTTTCCTATATAATAGCCAAAAATTTCATGTCCTTGATGGAAAAATGTTTCTTTAAAACCCCTTCTTTAAAAGAAAGCTTTAGTTTACCTCAAAAACTCATCTTCATTTTGTGGGATTAATTCTTTTCAATTGCTACTCTATAGCTCTAGAATGCTTTAAGAGTTTTGCTCCTTTTTTCTTCCTGTTCTTCAGGAACAGTAGGATTTCAGTTGTTACTTTTTAAATATAGAAAATAAGCTATTTATGGAACACTTCAAAAAGAATTTGTTGATATAACTTATTTGTCATTAATGAATATGTCTTCAGGGCTCTCTTCCCTTAGACTGGTTTTTCTGTATATGTGTAAGTTAAAAAATCACTCAAAGAATTTTACATGCTGTTTACTTATCTTAAAATGTGTGCAATAAATAAACAATATGTATTTTTATAATGTTAATCACAAAAAAGAGATATTTCAAAAAACACTGGAGGAAACCTCATGCCTAATTATAGTATGTAAGTTTCTTCTCACCTTCATAATTTTTTTCCATAATATTTGCAAAAAAAGATTTGCTGAATACTATGAAATATTGTAAAAGGGAAGAATGACTGACCAAATTAAAAAAAAATAAAACAAGAAAAGAACATTTCTGAGTGTTTTTCAAAGCATATTTTAAAATGTGAAAAACTTTAACAGTAATGAGTAATTCTGAAACTAACTAAATAAACAAATAAAGTAAATAAGTAAATATAGCTGGTATTTTCCTTTCTTTTTCTATTTAAGTGTGATAAGGAAATAACTTCTGCTTGTCCTATTTACCTTGTCTGTCATTATGATCCCAGTTTGTAATTCTCGTTTTAATTTCTACTATACCCATTCCAAGCAATGTTTTTTTCCCATTACATTTGTTTAATTTTTGTGAAGAGATTTTACATTACTTTTTATTAGATATTTGAATTCACAAAACAGTTTCTCCTACAGAAGTCAATGTTTAGCTTAGAGCAGCCAAGTTCTTGCAACTTATTATGTAACATTTTTATGAGAGTCAACTAGAGCTCTCAGAGATGGCACCTACTGTCGTAGCTCCCTTTACAGATATCCTAGCACAAAAAAATATACATATAAATTATGAAAAACTAAGTCAAAGCTACTACTGAATAAAGCTTAAAACTTAGATTCTTTTTATATAAAACTTGATGAAGCAACTAAACATTTAATAAAAGAACTAAGGGAAGTTGTACTATTGCTTCTTCAATATGTGATTTTAAGAGAATACTCACTGTAAAATTCAGTCATAAAAGCTCATTACAGCTTACACACACTTTGAATGGCAAAGCAGCATGATGTAAACTTGCAGCTTATTAAATGCTGAAAATCATGGTGCTGAGTGCACTGTTAGCCCTCACTCCCCCTGTCCATATCACTGTGGCTCCCGCCATCTCTGTCCACAGCCCAGTTTTGGATCATCAGCAAACTCATTAATGTTGCTTTCAATTCCTTCATACAGATCATTGATGAACAGATTAAACAGGAGTGGCCCTGGAACTGCACCCTGAGAAACATCACTGGTGACAGGTGACCAGCCAGAGGTAACTTCATTCATCACAGCCCTCTGAGCTCTGCCCTTCAGCCCCTTCTTCACCCAGTGCACTGTGAAGCACACACATCCGTTGGCTCCTTCAGAATGCTGCCCATCATTCCACATGGACTTGTGAACTTTCAGTTGATACAGATGGTCCCTTAAAATTTCAGTGTTCACAAATGGAGAGTCATTGTTCCCACAAATCAGGACCAGACAGCCCAAGCTCTGCTACCATTGCTAAAGACAGCAACAGAAAAAGCATTGAATGCCTTCATTTTCCCTTCATTATTATTAGTCAGATGGCTATCCCCAACAAATATTTGTCCAATGTTTACATTCCACCTCTTCTTGCTATTAACATACTTAAAATATCTGCTGCTGAATCATCAGCCATAGTGAAATCACTCTCCATGGACAGTTGCATTCATCTTCCCAAGGTTATCTCAGACACTACAGTGAGATACTCACCCCATCCCTTACTGAGTATGAGGTATGGCTAAAGTCAGTCAAGATCCACATAAACTTAAAGAAATAGTGTAAAAGTGAATTAGGAATAGAGAAGAGTTGGAGAAGGCTCCACCCGAACTTCTGGGATCAGTCAATGGGCTAAACCTGACTTCTCCTCTGTAAGAAGATCTATTGGGTAAGAACCACACTCTGTGAGTGTTGAATGATAATCTCACACCAGTTTTTATTGGGTATTAGAGCTTTTCTGCACAGTGCTTTGAATTAGAATATTACTTTAAATATGTTTTTGCAGTCAGATGTTATCACCAGCAGTCTTTGAATCTTAACCTGTAAAAATCTTATTAATTTAGAGCATTATTCTGTACACTGTTAATGCAAGACCTTCAAAAACTCTGCCAGTCTCTGGCAGTGGGCAAAAGTGTGGAGACCCACTAGGGGGTCTCTTTGTTTGGAGTGTGACCCTGCTCGACGAGTTGGTCGAGCCACCCTCTGATGTGATGAATTGCTCAGTGAATGGTCCCCACAGTGGGACATTGACAGATTGGCTGGGCAGAAGCGTCGCAGATTTTCTGAGGCTCTGACAAACTAATCAAACACTAAGGGTTTGAGTAAATCTACCCTTTTCATGTGACAGAGCAACCAAAGTAAACTCAACTGAAACGATTGTCTTTAGGCTCATAGGCAAAGCTTCACTGACTTGAAATGAAAGATTATATTCCTCCTTTCCTCAGTACTTCTAGCATTCTGCCAAAATCCCTAGACTATCAACATACCAGTTTACAACATTAAGTCATATCTCAATAGTCATGACTGAAACCTAGTAGCCTCTGCTCATATTTTTTTACACATACTGTTCCAAAATTAAAGAGATTATTAATAACAACTCATACTGTCATAGAATGTCTGTAATCAATTAATATATTATAATCCAAAATATGTGAAGCTGTCATGCAATAAATCTATTAAGCTCTCTGAGAAAATATACTCTTTCATAAAAGAGTATATAAAAAATCACTTGTCAGAGCTCTTTTCACATTCAGGACACAGGTGACCTGTAAACCAACATAATTCAGATGTAGTATCCGCAAGAAAGGTGATGAGACAACCATAACTGTTTCAAGAAGCTACCATTTTTTCTTGTTTTTTCCCTGTTTTTTTGCTACAAATGAGCATTTATATTAATAAACACTTCCATTAAAATGAAACCTTACTATAACAAAAATAGCAAAGTTTAGATATATTTATAAATATTTTTATGAAGATTAACAATGTCAGTATCAAGCCAGAACACTGAATTTTTTCTGGTAAATATTTGCACAAGGGTCAGCACCTACCACCACAATTATTAAATTCTTCACGATTTAATTATATATATTTTTATAGAAAATTCACAACATAAAATGAAGAGCTAGAATTCTAACCTTGAACACATACAGAAAATATATTCATTGAACTCATTTGAACTCCAAATTGATTTTTCCTAAACATCACTCAAGGCTAAGTGAATTTTAGTTAAAGAGTTAGTGTGGCATCATCTGTCCTTCTAACAAGGATGTCAAAAATAGCCTCTGGTCTGCTTCCAACTGAGCTCTTATCTTTTGCAGAAACCCATCTGCTGTAACATCAATGAAGATGATTTTTTCCCCCAAGTATTTTTCAAATGCATTGATATTTATCTTAGGTAGTGTAATAGGTATGTGTACTGAATTTACCTATTACTCTACATGCATAAGTTAGCCATAGACAACAAAGTAATCTGTTTTTTTTAAGGTCAACATAAATAATTTAAGGGAGATTTGTAAACCAAAGCAATTTTAAATATTTCTTTTCTTTGATATCTGAATTCCTTAATAGAGGACTAGTTTCTCTAGTGAAGATTATAAGGGAGGTAAAGGATGCTCCTGGAGATACTGGATCAAATTTAGACCAGCAGCAAGAAAATACAATTTTATTGGGTATAATGTGCAGTTTCATCACAGCTGAAATGATCTATATCTGTGAAATTTACTGTTTGCAAACATAACAAGAAAATCATGCCACTGTCACAACCAGAGGCAATGGGCACAAACTGAAACACAGGAGGATCCATCTGAACACAGAAAAAAGTTTTAACTTTTAACTGTGAAGGTTATAAACATACATACAGGTCACAGAGAGATGTTTGGAGGTATTCAGAAGCCATCTGGACATAATCCTGGACAGCTATCTCTAGATAGCCTTACCTGAAAAGACATGGGATTTGAACAAGATGACCTTGATGACTTTCCAGCCTCAACCTAGTCTGTGAATGGAGCAATGACCAACGATGTCCACATAAAGTAAGGCAGAGTAAAAACTGGAATGTTACAACATACTTGTCAGTTACATTGTTGTGCTTGAAGATCAGCAATGTGGGGATTAAGTTCACTTTTTTCCCTGAGCTTCATGAGTATTTTTAAAATGAAATGGGTTCCTTGGCTATTCAGATATATCATCTATAAATTATGAAGACTTTTTGTCTCTCTTACTAGCATATTGATTAATTCATGTACCTGAAGGTATTTTACAGAAGTAGATAGAAAACCACTAAATTTATTAATAATAAAATGAATACAAAGTAGTTGTAGTAAAACCAGGAAAGAAGTTAAAATAAGGGAGATCGAGTGGGAACAGGGACTGTTTTGAAGATTTGGTTGCACAGCTGAAGACTTTTTCTGCATTGCTAATTTAAAGTATAAATATTCCTTATTTGCCATTCTACACATACAATATATCAAAATAGGTCTGGTAAGAGAATTTAAGCTTTACTTCAGGATGAAGTACATCTAGCCTCAGTGTGAAAAAATAATGAGTCATGCAATAACCATTTTACCTTCAAGAAAGACCTGACTACCTGTTGTGCTGTCTTTGGATAATACAATGTCTAACTAAACAATTATTCTATCCACCAGCAGATCCCTAAATTGGATGTCTGATCTATCCTTGTTATCCTTCTTTATAAAATTTAGACAAATTCAAATATACCACCTTGAGTATATTTATAACCCGTACTGCATAATGGAGCCCCATGCATACTTTTAACTCTTTGTTGATTTTCTGACTTATTTTTGAGGTTTTTTAACAATTCAAGTTTAGGTGCAAGCAGTAGATATATTTTAGGAAAAATAAAAGAATAAAAACTCCTTCCTCACATTATTAAATATATTTTTTCATATTCAAGGGGAAAAAACATCTACAGAACTTCAACATAATTATTCTTCAAGTTTTCTCAACATTAGAAGTTCAGTAGATAAAAGAGACATTTCAGATCAACATTTGTACCTAATCTATGGCAACTGTCCGTTTGTCGTAGAAAATGTAATGCATTTCAATTTAGCTTAGGCCGCCTCTCACTGAGGGAAACTTAAACTACCATCTGAGGGTATGGGACCACACAGTCAGAAAAACAGGGTAGAGATTAAAAAAAAAAGGGGAAAAAAATGCCATTCTGAAGGGAAAACAGCATTACAGGAAAAAAATGTTTCTCAGATTAAGACAAGAAGTACTTGTGGTGGGATACTTCACTGGGCTGAGGAACAGGTGCATAGGTGTGCCTGAATGCTTAGAAGCAAAGGGAATCTGTGATGCAGCAGGTGCCAAGTACTACTTAAGCTATTGCTATCAAGGAAAGGAAGACACTGGCAAGCCACTAAACCATACTGTTTGTAAAATGGGG